TTGCTACCCAGATCTCGTCATTGCTTGGCTCTGTCCTGCATGAGTCACAAGGTCTTGCTAGACTGACTCACAGGTATTTGAGATCAGAACAAATGATTTAAAAGCATCAGTACAATGCATTTAGTGGGGGTTTGTAGAGATAAAAAAGAATAGGTATTAAAGGTCACATTTTATTTGTTCTGCCTGCTTGTAGCTACTTTAGGCACTTTAAAAAAAAAAAAAAAAACCCTGCATGATTCATTATTCATTAGCAGAAATGCAGACAGATGTAGTAACAATACTGTCATTTTTTGTGCAGAAGCTGTCATCATTTTGCATATTTTTCATAAATTGATCAAATTCCACAAAAATAAAATAAAGAAAACACAAGTGTAACCTTGTAAGATGTTTAAGCTTAATATGTGGGTGATGTGTCAGCAAATTAGGTCATTGCAAATACTTGTGAACGATAAGACAAAAACATTCATTGTCAATCTTCAGTCTCTAAGGCACAAAATGTTCATTTATTTAATACAACACAGCAACCCAATTCCAAGTCCAACTGCAAAGTAACTCCACAACCTAAATTTCCCTATTATGTTGGAAATATCTAACCAGTTAAACAAAACTAACAGGAATTTTAACCATTGTTGCAAGACGTGTAGCATGAATATTGGCATAAACAGCAAACAGCTCTAAAGAACTGCTTCCATGAATTTAACTAATTATCGGCCTATTCAGCTGTCTCTATTCCCATTGTGTGAGTAGTGTCTTCTCTTCCACGAGTTAATGATGCTCACTAACTTAACCATTCTCATGCTCTGAGTACATTTGTAGGTGAACACAACTCAGCATGAGCAGCCTTACTGATCTTCTGCTGCACAGGACAAACTGCAGTGTATTGTGTTTTACACCATCCTGTTGGAACCATTTTTCACCCTTTAAGCTTTTATTTGCGCTTTATTGGGTCCTGCAGCACAAAGTGAACAAAATACGTTTAGATTTAGGTGTCCATGACTCTGCTCACGATGTTTATCTCGTCTTTTCCTTCACCACTTTTGTTAGCTCCTGAACACTGGACACCTGAAATGTCTTAAAAGCTGCAAATGGGGAGTTTGTATAGCCTAGCCATCACCATTAGACTTGCCAATATTATTTTTAAGTTCTTTCAGTTTTTTAGCTTATTCATTTTGTGTTTCTATTTCAGCACCTCAGCTTCAATGACTACTGCTCCCTTATTTTCAGAGGTCCCAAAGCCAAGTTCTATTGTTAGAAACTAATCAGTGTTTTTTTGCTTTACGTATTTGTGGTACCAATTTAAATTCTGGTTTGTGTTTTTGCATTACTTGGCTCCCTACTTTTTGTTACTAACTAGACTATCAGGACATAAACTACAATGGAAAATGAAAAAGAAATTTGGATATTCATTCATTCATTCAACCTTTATTTATACAGGTTAATCCCATTGAGTATCGAGGACTCATTTACAAGAGAAACCTGATTTTAATAATGAATGATGACAACAATGGACAACAAAGACAACAATAGACAATAAAGGATGCACACAAATTGGGAACAACAAGTGAAAATAAAATGGTATTAAAAATGTAACAAAAACAGCTAAGTTGATGTAGAAAACTAAAAACGGGAACATGTCTGCATTGGTTTTTCCCATGAACTTAGCAGATGTTTGAAGCCACTTGGAGAAGTCAAGAGCTTCAGATCTTTTTGCAAGATATTCCAGGAAATAAGAGAGGAGTAGGAGAAGGCCCTTTTGCCTAGTTTGGTCCACACAGAGGGAATGCTGCATGTAATAATGTCCTGAGAGCGCACGCTGTAGCTGCACTCACGCAGTGACATGAAGGAGGAGATGTATGAAGACAGCAGATCTAGAAGTGATTTAAAGATGAAAATGTACCAGTGGGAGCATCTGCGTGAAGTTAATGATGTCCAGTTAATCATTGAATACAGGGTGCAACGATGGGTACGATAGTTACAGCCAGTTATGAATCTTAGTGCACCGTGATAGACAGCATCCAATATCTGCAGGGTTCTTTTAGGAGCGTTCATGTAAATAATGTCACCGTAGTCAATGGAGTAAAATTGATAATGAACTTCAGGAGTCAATGGATATACTAGCCATTTAGGGTGTGTTCTATGTGTTGTCATCGTTGTATGTTCCCACACGATGGCAAAATTATTTCTTTGCATTGAACCCATCACATGTGAGATACACCCAGGTGGAGCAGTGAGCAGCTGTGTAAGCACTCAAGGAGTAATTAGGTATTAGGTGTCTTGCTTAAAGACACCACGACATGTCGGAATGGCTGGGAGTCGAACCGCAACTTTCTGGTCCCAAGTCGGCTGACCTACCTCTATCCCATCTTGGCCCCCCAAGAATGAATGCTGGGTATTCCCGGCATTCATTCATTCATCTAAATCTGTTTGTTCACTCTCTAAGGTTTTTTCAACCAAGGGTTAGTGGAAAATGAGGTGTTGCCAATTTGACTGTAATATAATTGCACACCACATGTGACAACAGGGTGTCTCTGAGGTATGTTTAGCAATATGTGGGTGAAATGGGTATTGCTTATTAGATGATGCAATTAATCTTTGTGTCAACATGTGTGCTGATTCTTGTCAGCAGGGGAGCGTGTGGGATGGGGGCTCCAACTTCCAGTGCTACTCTCGTCACCTGGCAATTACCAGCAGTAGGCTCTTTCAAAAGACAGTTACGTGAATTGTCCACACAGCCCATTCCATGTTTATGCTCCCCCTGGCAGTTCATAAGTCACCAATGAAATCACTCCCTTCCTGCACACAATTGAGCTTTTAGAATACAGCAAGCAGTGCAGAATCAAAAAAGGCGTGGACAAAACACCCCTCAGCTGCTCTGACGCGTTGCTCCTCGGAAATCTACCATATGTACCGGTATTTTTTAAACCCTGCTGCTGGGTGGTCGCCAAAAGCGTACATCGTCACATTAGTCACAGTCAGTTGGAGCCACAAAGCCAGCCCACCTTTAAGGTAAATAGGTAAGAGGTAGGGTGCTGCAATGGTACGGTGTTTCAGTCCCCGCTCTTGGCCTCCATGCGCTTTCTGAATTGACCGAGGTGGGGAGAAGACGTGCAAGTCCAAGACTGACGTGTCTTGAGAATAGTGAGAGAATTTTTATGGAGCTCTTATGGTTGAGATGTGGTTGCAACAAAGAAATGTGACCCTCATAAGAACATACAGCTCTTTAGACCACTAAACTTGTCTCCATATTTTGTATTTTAGATTGACATGCTAGACATACATTGTATTTTTGTCTCCATCCCCATTGATGGACAGTTTACATAATGGACCACATTTTTTTTAAATGACTGCTTACGTTTGGCAGGAGGTTTGGAAGAGAAGTCCAGCTTTTCTTCCTTCTTTTGCTATCCATGGCTGCTTAGCTGAGTTCTTGACATACCAAAGGGGGCAAATGTCCTCAGATAGCCATTCCAGGGGCTTATTAAAGTGGAGATGAGACTGAGAAGAGAAAAGACAAAAAATACACATTTCCATGCAAATTAAATAATACTTGCTTATAACCATCTTATCATTATGATAAAAAAGAGTCAATAGTTTTATGGTAGAAACAATAACTAAAGATTTGTTTTTTCTTTGCAAAAGAGGGAAACAAACTGTCTGCCTTTAACATAAATTAACTGTCACTCACTGTTTTGTTGTTGTCTTGAAGTTTGCTGTAATAAAATCAAATATGTTTTATTTGTATCCTTGGTTTTGCGTATGAAGACGCAAAAATAAAGTATTTAAGCTAGTTTTTGTACATTCTTTGTCTAAGCGTATACCAGCAGCTAACCACTTTTTAAATGTAAATCCTAATGTCTCATGGGACGCTGCAAAAGCCTTTAGTGATTCCCTCTTTTCTTTTATTTAGCTTCCAAGAATGTTTAACCTTTTAATGTGGTGTTAACACAAAAAAATGTAAGCAGTTTTTTTGTTTGTTTTGTACATTTGCTGCAGCACTGTAAAAATTCCTAACTTTACAAGTTTCTTTTTCAAGAAAAATTAATAAAAAAAAAACCCACACTAAATTAAAACAGGAATTTATGTCCATGACATGAGCGCATGATCCTGTCTAAATAAAAGAAAAAATCAGCTGGTAATCATTATTGAAATTATATACATTCCTTGGTCTGCTGCCTTCTTATATTTTCTCTCACATGCACGTCATCAGTGTAGTTTCAGCGTGCACTCTCAGGCCATCATTACCTGCAGTGTCCCCTCAGTGCAAACTGAACTTGGCAAAAAAGCCTTTTTTTACTCTGCTCTTGTTACCTGGAACACATTGCAAAAAAAAAAAAAAACCCCAAGCTGTACACTTTGATCTCTTTAAGGGATTTTAGACAATTGATGAGTTCAATAGAAGAATCAATGCAAATATGTTCTTGTTTTGAGTATTTTACCTTGTTTTATAATGCACCTTGATTTTATTGTTTTATAACACTACTTTTTTGTTTTAATGGCATTTTGTTGTTTTTTAGTGTTGTCTGCGCACTGTATGTTGTCTGTTTAAAACAGGTCTCAATTGTAAATGAGTCCTTGTCGCTCAGTGAGACTAACCTGTATAAATAAATGTTGAATTTAATTATTTTATTATTATTATTATTATTATTATTGTTATTTGAAGTGTTATAGCAGATGGCTGCTCGTCCTAAGTCTGGTTCTGCTGGAGGTTTCTTCCTGTTAAAAGGGAGTTTCTCCTTTCCATTGTTGCCTTTGTGCTTGCTCAGGATGGGAGACTGCAACTAAGTTCAAATTCAACACAATCTGCGGTTTTCCTTAGATAGACAACTTTTACTAATTGGCTTTTTTATGTATGTGAATGTTTGTGTTCAGTGCCATGAGTCAACTTCTGTTGTGATTCGGCGCTATATAAATAAACTGAATTTAATTGTTTCCTCTCTTTATTTTTTTTAACTTACTTACATTTAAATTTGTTCTTTCTTTCGTTTTTCTTTGTCTCGTAGTGTGGCAGTCACCCGTTCCAAAGACGTGCCATCTTTTGGCCCCCTTATCCCAGAGGGTGTGACATTTCCCAAGTCGTCTGTGTTCAGGGACTTCCTGCTGGCCAAGGTCATCAACGCTGAAAACGCTGCCCACAAGTCACACAAGTTTTGTGCCATGGCCACTCGAACACGCCAGGAGTACCTGCGTGACCTGGCTGAACGCCACACCACTAGCACGTCGATTGACCCCTCTGGAAAATTTCCTTTCATTTCCCTGGCCCATAAAAAGAAAGAAAAGACTCGGCCGTGTGATGGAGCAGAGTTACGCAGTCTCGGTGCCGTGACCTGGCAAGTTTATGCAGAGGATCATGGGAATGGAGGGGAAATTGAGGCTTTACTGGCCATTTCCAATGACTTTATCATCCTGTTGGACCAGGATGCCAAGGCTGTGGTGTTCAACTGCGCCACTAAGGATGCAATTGGCTGGACACTTAGCAGTCCTGCTTCTTTAAAGATTTTCTACGAGCGTGGAGAAAGTGTGTCCCTGAGGAGTATCAGTAATAATACAGAGGATTTCAAAGAAGTGATCAAACGTCTTGAGGTCAGAGGGGAAACACACACACCAGTACATTGCATTTGACATAAAACTGTTGTCTGTTTTAACTTCCAGAAATAGACAGCCATGCGAATGATGTAAAATGGAACCAAATTAGTTGTATTTGTTTAATGGCTCTGAATAAGACAAGGGATAAGATAAAGGTGACATTCATTTATATAAAAAAAATATATTGAGAAACTAAATCAATGGAAAAAATGCTGTTTTCTGTTGGCATTTTTCATTCACCTGTACGGCTCACGGTTCTGTTTTTTCCCTACTATTTAATGCTAGCTGTCAATCTGCCAGAATTACATTTTTTTTATCTGCATGCCAGACGGATGTCTCCTCACTGGTCTCAGTTTATTGAGGGAGTTTCAGAAACACCTCTGGACAACAGTCGCCTAATGGCTCTTACACCTACACATACAGTGAAGCTGAAGCGATGCTTGTTCGTTCGTAGCTGTTTCCATGGAAACTGGTCAGGGAGAAAAAAATGTGTTTTCTTATGTAATCATAGACTCTTTAGAAATGATTTCCCTAGCATCCCCTTTATTTGACAAAACAAACATGTATGCTTGTGCATGCTCGTTTGTGTTTAATTTTTTTTGTGCGTGCATGGAACATTCTTTGAGTTGTGCGATTTTGAACAGCAACACGTCATTATTTTACTCAATCCTAAGACATTGATTACATGTTGCTTTGTTTTCAACTGGCCCTACAACTCAGTCAGGTTGACTGTCTCGGTGCCCAAGTGAAAATGCCCAAGTGAAAATGGAAAATAGTTCTGGGTTCTCTTATTTTATCTTTTTCTTAGCGTACCCCACTTTTCCTCCTTCCATTTGTTATATGTCAACCCTCCATTCCCCTGTTCTGTTTTCCACTTTCTTGCACACAGAAACATTAGAGGGTACAATAACAATTCACATCAGGTGCCATTCTGTTGCATAATTTACGTATCTGTGCTTTCCGGTGAAGTTTGACTTCCTTGTTGAGACGGAGAAATCCAAAGGTGCCCTCAAGCTTGTAGGCGCGTCATTAGAGGGAGAAACAGTCTGATAAGTTGTGACCAGTCATAAAGTAAAAGTTTATTTTAGCCGGAAAATATAATTTGTTTTAACAGATCGGTTTTTACTGCAATGGATTTTAAAAATATATATTTTTAAGTTCTCATTTATACAATTTCCATCCCCACCTTCGTGAAAATGCAGCTTAGCTACTTCCCAGCTTTCTTCCATCTTCTCTTGAATGGCAGGAGTCCCACGATAAAGCAAAAGCAAGAAAGGTATCTTTATTCAACATGTTCTGACGTTCACAAAGACCTGAGCTTCACAGAAAGAGGCACATTTGCTTTCATATGTGTCATCTGTTAAAAGTGATATTACCTTTTGCCTTCAAGTCCTTTGGATTGAGAAGTTTAAAAAAAAAGTATCTTCCTTTAGCTGAGAAGAAAAAAATGTACATAAGTAAATATTTACACATTACACAATTGCAAACAAATGAATAAATTTAATTGCATCCGAACCATTAAATATTTTAGTCCAGAAAAGCTGATGTTGGCCTGTTGAGTTACTTGAAATTTGAACATCTCTCACATTCGTATGTCTGTAGTTTCTTACTAAAGGTTGTGAAACATCAGAGATGACGCTTCGTCGAAACGGCCTGGGACAGCTCGGCTTCCACGTGAATTATGAAGGCATTGTGGCTGAGGTAATAAATCTTACATAAAAAATAAAATAAAAACATTTTCAAGGAAGCAGAAAACTTTGGCTACATAGCAAAACTAAATTTAATTTTCCCCCCGAAAAGCCAGATGATTTTTACAGACGTATAAAAGTTGAGGTATAAGTATATTTGTATAATCTCTGAAAATGACAATTTTGAATAATTGTTTGTGTATTGTAATAGTTAATTAATCACCAACACTCACAGTTGCTCAATTTTCTGTTTTGCATAGGAAGGTAGAATATGTGTTTTCTTGAATTTTCAGGCTTAAAGAATATTTTAATGTATCGAATTCATACTGGATAATACGAGGACCACAGCAGCAGTATAGTTTTGCTTCAGCACATTAAAATCCAATTTTAAAAGTGTTTGGGCTTTGTAATGCCATCTGTTTAAAGCACAATGACTTATTTTGCGACAGAAGGAATGGATTGCTATTTAATCTACAAAGTTTGATGTTGCTTTACAAAATCTGTTTTCTTCTCAGACTCTGCTCCCAACGTGATTCTTTTTACATTCAGCTGTAGAGATTTAGAAAAAAATGTTTATGAGCAGAAGTACAGGCATGGAAATGTATTACTTGCACTTTAGATTATATGTGAAGCAGAGCAAAGGAGAGAAACAAAAGTAAAATTAAAATTATCATTTGGTTTAATTATAAAGAAATAATGTAGATGATTCCCAAGATGTCCAAGCATTTTTGTTCTTACCTATTAGAACTGTCTGAATCAGAGAATGGTAGCCTGCTTTGGATTATCCTAATGATTAGTTTTAATTGATAAGATATTTTTTTTAAACAAGTTGGCTTAAAGCTTAGTTCTTCATTTTTGTATTCCTGCAGTAACACACTTTTAATAATTTCCTGTGATTTCTTTGGTTTCTAGAATTGGCTTAAAATGGCAACACATCCTTCAGTCTACTTAAAAGCAAATCTAGATATTATATATATATATAGTATATAGATTATGTCATAATTTAGCTGTAAAATATATTTTTGGTCATATATTATGTTACCAAATTTTTTCTATTTTCCCTTTTTCTTAACCAATACAACCACCATAAGTTTAACCGTACCATGTAAAATTCAATTCAAGTTGTCTCAGTGCACCGCATAGAAACATTCACATACATAATAAGTTATTATTTAATATAAGATGGAGCTAGATTCATATCTCAACTATATATATAATAGATATATAATATCTCAACTACAGCCCCAAATCTCAATTAGTTGAAAAGGATGTTCTGTGGACGCATTCTCATCTACCTGCCAGCTGTGCTCAAGTGCCTGACCACTGAGATCCTGGAACTAGCAGGAAACACGGCTCATGACAGCGGAAGGACAGGATCGTCCCTCGGCACCTACAGTTGGCTGTCCGCATCAACGAGGAGCTCGGTAGACTGCTGGGAGGAGTGGCCATCGCTATGGGAGGAGTTCTGCCCGGCATTCGGGCGGTCCTACAGCCCGGGGAAACCAAGAGGCCAGCCAAGTCTGGGTGGACGGACCTGACAGCATCTGCAGCCAGTTTCTTAGGATCCACTGTGGGATGGACCTTTACAAGAGATCCTTCCTGTTTACAGCCATCAGTATCTATAACATCTCTTAATGAAATGAGGATAACGAGTTACTACAACAAATAATTTCCCTCTGGGATTAATAAAGTATTTTTGAATTGAATTGAATTGTTGAGAGCTTTGTATGCTAGAAGTAAGATTTTGAATTCAATTCTGGATTTGACAGGGAGCCAATGGAGAGAATCTAAAACTGGAGAGATATGAGCTCTCCACTAACTCCAGTTAAGACTCTGGCAGCAGCATTTTGGATCAACTGAAGACGTTTTAAAGACGTATTTGGACACCCTGATAACAAACCATTGCAATAGTCCAGTCTAGATGTTATAAAAGCATGAATCAGTTTCATTTTTATATAAGATGTTTCAAATTTTAGCAATATTACGCAGACGGAAGAAGGCGGTTCTGGTAATGTTTTTAATGTGATGGATAAAAGACGTCCTGATCAAAAATAACACAAAGATTTTTAACATTAGAACTGGAGGCCAGATTAATCCAAGGAGGGCAAGAGACTGAAAAATTTATTCCTGAAATGCTCAGGTCCAAAAACCAAAGCCTCAGTCTTGTCTGAGTTTAAAAGCAAAAAATTCAGGGTCATCCATGTTTTTTTGTCTTTAAGACATGCTTGTAGACTATGTCACTGATTGATTCATTGGGTTTCATGGACAAATATAACTATAAATGTAAAATGTAAAAACTTCTACCACTATTTGAAAAATTGTTCACTAAACCTGTTTTTACTCTCAGGTTGAGCCTTATGGCTACGCTTGGCAGGCTGGGCTGCGTCAGGGAAGCCGTTTGGTAGAAATCTGTAAAGTCGCTGTAGCAACTCTGACCCACGAGCAGATGATTGACCTCCTGCGTAACTCTGTGACAGTGCGTGTTGTTATCATTCCACCACATGACGACGCCACTCCACGCAGGTATGTGGGAGGAGACCCTGAGTGTTTGTTCACATTAACACTGTTCGTACATGATGACTCGGACAACACCTTTTCTAGTTTGTCACATCAGGATTTATTTGGCACCAGATTTAACGATGTTTTGGAAAAATATGAACCTTTGTGCTGTAATTCAATTTAGTCACAAAACCATCTTCTGAAGGACAACCAGGCAGAAATTCTTTACCTACACATTTAATAAAATCACTCTTCAATAGCTAAAGAGAGTTGAGACTTGAGTGCTCATTTTCATGAGCAAATTGAAGTCCTACAGCTTTTAGTATTCTCCAAGTCCTATTTTTATCATTTGGTGTTTAATTGTCATGGTCCCTAAGGGTATGAGAACAGACACTAATTTTCCTCTCGTCGTTGTAGGGGCTGCTCAGAGCTATATCGAGTACCTGTGTCAGAATACAAGGGCAGCAGCAGCGATAGTGGCTCCTTCGAGTACAAATTCCCCTTCCGCAGCAACAATAACAAGTGGCAGAGGACATCGAGCAGTCCTCAGCAGTCACTGACGGCCTCTCCACAGCCCCACACGCCCAACCGAGCCATCAGCCTGGGAAGCTCCGTGGGGAAGACCCTGTCAGCTGAGAGGCTGGAGAGAGGCGCTGCCATTCCACGCAGTGTCAGCAGTGACGGCCGACCTCTGGACTCAAAGAGGTTAGGGCTTGTTGTTCCTTAAATATGGATCATCAAGGTAAATTAATTACAAAGACGGACTTGTTCAGCTTCTTAAAACCTCAAAAATATGTGGACAAAGCCAGAATTTTGAACAGTTGTTAAACAGATCAGCCTTTGGTACCAAAGAATGCTGAAATCATTTTCAGCTTCCATTGTCTCACTCATTTCACCTATCTGCTGAAATAAACTGTGAAGGTAATGTCTCAGCTTAGCACGTGAACCTCCTGAGACCCTGCGTCCACATATGGGGACATTACATTTTGGCTTTGCTGTACCTTATACTTCACTATGTTCAGTAGTGTTTTATACTTTGTTAAGCCATGTTAATGTTATGCTGTAAAATAAGCCCATTGTCCCCATCTAAGGACTTTTATTTTTATTTTTACAAAAGTATGTCATAACCATCTAACAAAATACAACTTCCTGTTCCAAGATAAAGCTTTATTTATACACAAATCAGGTCCTTCTAATCACAAATATCTAGGAGATATGAAAAATGCATTGCAACCCAGAGCTCGGGTGTCAGGAGGTTTTAACAAAGCCAGTGTTTTTCTTGCCAAAGTTTTAAGCAGAAGGTTTTTTAGCTTCTCTGACATTTATTTCACCCTGTGTGGGAACTGGAGTCATAGTGCCTGCATTTCCTCGTATTGTTTAGTTTCTGTTTTGCATGTCTTCAAAAATTATTTCATTCATATAAATAATATTTTGTCAGTTTTTTTTTTTTTATTAGCAGATAAATTCACAGAGTTTCTTTGTGGGTGTGTTTCTGAATTTGTTTGCACACCAGGATGTCTCCAGGCAGTGAGAGCTACAGCCTGGCCTCGTCTCTGGCTTTAGGTCGCTCCCCTCACAACCGCAGCTCTCCCAGCAACCTGTCATGTTCCACTGAAGCCTCTGGAAGCTCTGCTCACTGGAGACAGAAGTCGATGCCCGAGCAGTAAGGAAAACAGGAGAATACAGATTATCTTATATGTGTCGTATCCATTGTGCATAAATATAATTACACAGTATCACTAAAAACTTTGAAGTCAGCCTGAGGCGCTCATTCTGTGATCAGTGGTTATCATAATGATAGAAAAGCTATTGCACATTCATCAGGTTTTATTTGGAGTGCATAAATATCTCAGTCTCTAAGCAAAATGACATATGTGTTAGAGTACTTTATGTTCTCTAGTTACAATTAGGAGCAATGATTTATGAAATTCTATGCAGAGAATTGAATTAATTTGCAGTTTGGATTGAAATTTGGTATAGATATATGACAAATGTAATATTGCAAAGTAAGGCACACTTCTATTTGCACAAACTTGAGCCTCAGGGGGAAAATTATCTTTTAAATTTTACCTTTCTGTTGTTTGTAGCTCTGCTTTTTTTAAACGCACACATTGTTTTCTGCAGTGGCCCTGAAGTTTAAATAACAGCTACAAATTAAAAAACAGAACTACAAATTAAAAAACACAACTACAAATTATAAAAGGCAACAGCATTTGAAAAAATAAAACATTTGAAAAAACTCATTACATAAAAAAAATACAATTACGTTTGAAAATGACCCCACAACATTTGAATAAACTCATTTACATTTGAAAAAACACAATTACATTAGAAGAAACTCAATTACATTTGAACAGTTACAGTTGAAAATATTACATTTGAAAAAACACAATTACATTTGAATAGATGCAATTACATTTGAAAAACTCAATTACATGAATATTTTTTATTTCCATAAAGTCAGTTACATTTGAAAAAACTAAATTACATTTAAGTAAACTCAATTACATTTGAATAAACACAATTACATTTAAAAGAACACAATTACGTTTGAAAAAGCAATTACATTTGGAAAAAACTCTATTACATTTGACAAAACTCAGTTACATTTGAAAAAATGCAACAACAATAGAAAAAAACACAATTACATTTGACGAAACACAATTACATTAAGTTAAACCGAAAGAGGTGGAAAAAGTGGGAGGTTCAAACGCCCCGTCGTCCAATCAGTGATGTCTGTTTCCCACTGGTCCCACCTCCCACCTTTCCCACTTCTTCCAGTTTTATTTGATGTAATTGTGTTTCGTCAATTGTAATGGTTTTTTTTTTTCAAATGTTTTTGCATTTTTGCTAATGTTTTTTCAAATGTAATTTCGTTTTTGCAAATGTTGTTTTTTCAATTTTCAAATATAATTGCATTTGTTTTTTGTTTTTTTTTTTCAAATGTTTTTTTCAAATGTAATTGCATTTTTTTAAATGTGATTTTTCAAATGTAATTGCATTTTTCAAGTTGTTTTTTAAATGTAATTGTGTTTTTCAAATGTTGTGTTTTTTCAAATGTAATTGCGTTTTTTCTTTCAAATGTTTTTATCAAAATTTTTTTTTTTATGTGATTTTTCCAATGTAATTGGATTTTTCCAAATGCATTTTTTAATTTTTAGTTGTGGTTTAATCTTCAGGGCCACCGTAGTTTTCTGAGCACGTGTCATCTCAAATTTTGCATGTGTGTGACCACTTGCTAGGTTTGCAAGCAGCCGTCATTCTCCTTTGTCTTCGGAGAGACGAGAGGTGGTCGGGGAAGGTGGGTCCAGTGGAAAGTCCACTCCCAATTGGTCAAGAATGGAGGACGGTAGCGGAAGTGAAAGAGGGTCAACAGGTATACAAGCACTTAGGAATATTTGTTGTAGAGAAATAGGTTGAATGTGTGTTGTACTTGGAGACAGGCTGAATGTTTGATTAAAAGCGAATGCAAATTGACATTTCATAAATGCAAAAGAGTGTGGGCTGCAGTTGATTTATGCAAAGGGAGGAGCAGACGAAGCACGAAAGAAATCTTCCATATTTATCTGTGCTATAAAATCCTTTGAACTGGCAGTTATTTTGGAGAGTGTGTGAATGGTGCTTGCATTGGTTACCAACTCTGACAGCCTTGTTCAACAACAACACTCCCCCCTCCCTTCTCCTTCCACCTCCCGTTCCCCTGCAAGCTGTGAATTATGTTGCCTTCACAGAGAAGGTCTTAATGTCTCTGCAAACAAAACAGTGGAAACCTAATGAGACGAGCAGAAAAAGGGAGAATTTTTAGAGTCGTTCAATTGTGATCCCAGTGAGAGCAAATGGATTTTACCCTCACACATTTTTTTTCTTCTATGAGGTTTATTAATCAAAAATAAAGAGAAATGGAAGAAATACCCCAATTTTTTTTGCCAATAATTAGCCAACATTGTGTCTTTCCTTCCATCCGTTTTGCCCATCTATTAATTTCTTTCTTGTTTTACATATTTGGCTCTCATCAATTTGTTCTTTTACGTTCTATTTTATGCCATTGCAAGAATTCTCTCATTCACTTTTATTTTACAAGCCTTTTCCTTTTCATTCTGACTTTGCTTCTCAAAGCCACAAAGGCTGCCGTTTCCTCTGCCACTCCTCTCGTTCCCAGCAGGATGCTGCTTTGATTGATCGCTGACCAGCCATGTTCCTCAACCTGTTGCTGGTCAACATAATCACAGTTAAAGTTCTTGGTCTTTCATTTTGCGGTTGCTTATAGTGCCTATGTTGTTATTGGATAGGGTGGAACAATGCACACTGGGCCAGCTCTGCTGAAGTCAGCCAAGTGTCTGGCTGTCTTCTCAACCGACTCTGCTGTCTGAGTGCTTTAAAGTTCTGTATTTTCCGTTTCCTCACATTTTTACCTCTTGACGCTCTGTTTTTTTTTTTTTTTACAAAGATGACATGGCCAAGTTCTTTCCAGAAATATCAGAAGTCACTTAGAGGGCAGTATACTCACAGTTGCTCAAATTTTTCATCCTTTGACTGACCCATGTAGCTGTTTTTTTCCCTTTTCATTTTATGGCTAATTCAAGCTCATTTATTGCTAATATTCTGTCTTGTCTACAAACCACAGTTTATTTTTTATTTGCTCCTCAAACCTGGTTATACTGTACATACAACTGGTTTACCTTTCTCCTCCATAACAAGACAATGATTACAGTATAGACAAATAGTAACGTATAGTCTCTGGTTTATGGATGCACAGGAATTTGGACAGGTTACCTCACATACAACTATCCCTAATTAGTCCAGAGAGCCCTGCAGGCTGCAGCACAACTATACAGATGAATGAATATTCTAAATGAGATAGAAACCACACTTTTAGGTTCACCCCAGCAGATGTTATGATAGCACCTCTAGCTCTCTGTGTGCGTCTCATGCTGCTCTGCTCATTAACTGCCTGCTCCGTATAACTTATTGCATAACATAGACAATTACACAATAGTCTCATTTATATCAAAGTTTGCCTCCGGACTCGTACACACAGTCTCTCATGCAGCACAGTTTGCCCAGAGCAAACAAAGCCAGCAGGGGACAAAATTGTTTGATGAATGTTGCTTTTGATGACAAGTGATCTGGGGTTTTCTTAATGGAGGATGCAAAGGCAGAAGGAAAACCATGTCAGTGCTGTGTCCCTCCTGGACGTGTTGTGGCTTTTATCTTTTGTGCTGCAGGAGCTGTCCATGTGTTTGTCACCAACCCCCGCCTTTTGTTTAATGTGATTGCAGAGACCCCTGTTTCCAAGTCGGGTCAGGGCTACTCGGGAGCTCCCCGCATCCAGAGGCAAGAGCAGGTCATCCACCTCTCCCCGAAGAAGGGCAGCCAGGTCAGAATTAAATCCTTGTTGTAAACCCTCCTGACGGGAGCCCAGCTGTTTCTTTTTGTCTACTGAATGATCATTCTCACATGGCTCAAAGTTCATACTGTTAGTACATTGCTATATAACAATAATGTATTTTATTTTTACATGATGTAATGCTCTATTTACTCTTGCCATGTGAGTTTTCAAGGGGTGGGATTCTTAGCCTCTTCACGATTCGATTGCATCGTGATTCAGAGAGCCAACATGGGATTATAAAACCAATATGACTGAATCTTGATGCATCCATAATTACACTTTACACATAATCCTGAGCCTAAAATAATCTGCTCTACACTAAAGTTTACAAGTTTTCATTCTAACAAAACTAGAACAAAAAAACGTAAGTTACTATGTAACTAACTTCACCTTTTTTTTAGTCAGACTGAATTTTTGACCTAGTTCACTCTTTGATTTACTGGTTTGCAGTGGCGTCTACCACTGGCTGTTTTATCTTCTTCTTCCTTCAGATGGAAAAGTGTTCACAACTTGGATATAGTGTGGCTCCCAACATCATTTCCCAGTAATTTTGTAGAAGCCAAATTATTTTTAAACGCCAACTTTCAATACAGAAAATGCCATGTGTATCTCACATCTCCTTTGTATGGTCATCATAAATTGTCTGTGCACTACATTTCTGCTCTGTAGAGCAGGGGTTCTCAAACTTTATGGGTTCAGGGACCTCCCTCATAACCCTCATGTTTATTAAATAATTTTCTTCAATTTGTCTCTTTACTGCAATATTTGTTGTTTAATGTTTACTGCAATATTTGTGCAACATAAATACTTAAGACCTGTTCTTTAGTAGAGTTAATATTAAACATGGGGTATTTTTCATTCAAGACACACTTAATTACCAACATTTTTAATTTCATCTTCCAAAAATTACAGTTTTGAGAAAATGAACATAATCCAAAACCACTTTAAAACGTTACCTACTCACATAATGAACATCATAAATGTATTGCCACTTCTTTAACTTATTACAGAAAACTCTTTACATCAAACTGAACAGAATCGTAACATCAGTTTTCAAACCAAGTACCAGGGCTTCATTTGTAAACTGGTCGATGCCAGAACGCATTTTCTGGGTTCTCCCCCAGAAAATTTTGAATAAAGTAGATGTGATTTCCTGCATTTTGATGTATTTTAACAGGTTGTTAAACACCTAGGTGGTTGTAAAAAAAAAAAAAATAATAATAATTTTAATTTTTTAGTTGTGTATCCCCAAGCACCGGCTCACGGACCCCCAGGGGTCCGGGTACCCCAGTTTGAGAACCATTGCTGTAGAATTCCACATTTCACACATCTCTTTTATGTCAAATTTGAAATAATATTTTTTCATGTCTGCATCTTGGTTGCTCAAAATTAGATTATAACCCCACTCCTTGAGGTTACTAATTTATACACGGTAACGTTCTAAAACAAACAAAACAATAATAATAATAAAATAATCGAAAACTTACCTGCTGTTTCTTTTTGCTTTTCCATTTTCTATTTGCCTTGGCAGTCAGATGGCCCTTACTCAGGTCACTCCAGCAGTAACACTCTATCCAGCACAACTTCCAGTGGGGGCCACAGTGACAGTGACAAATGGTATGATTTGGGGGCAGGTGGGGGCTCCAGTGGCGACCAGGGGGATCCAGAACCCAATGGCCTGGGAGGGGGAGGATACCTGCAGGGAGCCTCTGCTGACAGTGGTATTGACAGCGGCTCATACGGAGCCCAGCATCACGCTCACCCCCACTCGCATCATGGCAGCACCACGTCGCTGCTGGCTCCCAGTGGAAGCAGAGAAAACAGGGAGCGGACCGGCTCTCCGTGGCACAGTCCAACCGAAGGAGGGCGCAGGATGCTCGAGAGGTCGCCTGCTGCCGCCGAGTCTCCTGGTCCCCCAGCAGAAAGAAACCTGGAAGGTCGAAGCCCCCCAACTCATCTCCTCGTTAGAGACAGCAGCACATACAGTTTGAGTGACAGCGGCTCACACTCGAGGTGAGTTTGTGTGGATATTGTGTTACATGAGAGCAGGTAGTACCTTATGCACCTTTTGTTGGATAGTTCTCGAGTCATGATATTTTGGGTCATTAGACCAAACCCCTATCTAAACGGACTAGATGTAAACTGTAAGTGGGATTTAAAAACATTATTAATTTAACTACTTTACAAAAAAATACTGTTTCTTGCCTGATAAATTATTTTGATTTGTTTAATATTCTACATAATTTATGTCCAGGTCCATCCTAATCTTCCAAACTCTGTACATGTAAAACTGGTCTGAACTTCAGTTCTGGTTCGTCTTAACACAACAAGCTCAGTGTGCTTCCTTTTGGCAGACAATTTGCATTCCTAAGAAGATTTCTATCCACGATACTTTAAGTGGATGTTATCCCTCTTGTATAGGTTCCAAACATGAGGGTGGGATCATTTAAGGAGTTGAAAAATATTTAAGAGCTGATTTATATATATATCAAGTTAAGATGCATGACAAAACACTTGGCTGTTTATTTTTTTACTTTGTTTTACTGAGAAATTCTGAACTCTTTGTGCTTTTTAATCCTCCAGAAGAAAAACAAACCTAAGAAGGAATGCACTTTTTGGCTGAATGGCTCTCCTCTTATAAATATACGTGACTTGTCACAAACTCAGTATTTCACACCAAAGTTCAGTTATCCTGACGTTGAGGTCTAGAGAGACGCTAATTCATGTCCATAACTTTATTTATGCTCATCTTTAGCAGTTGTTTACCTTGACAGACGCACGATCCAGCCAGAGGCTGAGGTAACCATCTGAAGCAGATGGGAAACACAGTCCGTGTGTTGTGTGTTGAAATAATAAACTTTCTTGGCTCAGTAAGCTATGTAGGTTATTCTCCTTTGTTCCCGTATCACTTTTTAAAACTTAATTGTTATGGTTCAAAATATCTTGATGCATGCTCAATAATCCAGGTAGAAAAATCTAAAAAAGTTAAATCTGGTCCTCTGGACATTGAATTGTTAATTGTTATGGATTTTGACCTCTATTCGTTCATACAGTTTAAAATACACACACAAAAAAAACATCTTGAAAGGACTTCCACACATGCAATGTAAGATAATATTCAGTATTATATGAACTACCGTACATTTTGGACGATCAGCTAAAACTAGGGATGCACGATATTGTAGTTTTGGCCGATATCCGATATTTTTTATATAATTTCCTTTGTCAAAACATAGCCCTCTTATTTAGGCTTAGTTGCTACAAAAATTGTGTTAAAGCTGTAAGAGCTGGTGACGTATATTCAGTAACAGCCATATGATGTGCATAGCACTTTAACTTATATTACACGAAAAGTGTTAAATGTTATTTATTAGCATTATTCACCTGTGATGCTGTCTCACTTGTGGAGGCTTGTTCCTTGTTCCTAGCTGCAGTGTGGGATCCTCTGCACTACTGTGCATGAAGGACAGACTTTTTAAGTCTAAGTTTTTGTCTATCCATTGTGCCGTAAAACTAATCATGCTAACGGAGCTAACACGACGTCCAAATATCTGTGGTAAAACTCACCCAAGTGCTATCGGCTGTTAGCTTCTCAGTGACGTCAGAAATGACGGCTTGTAACTCGGGTAAGGTTACGTCAGAAAAATATCTCCGACTGGGGACGATGTAGCGAGGCTCATCTTAGTCCAAAAATATGTGGAGCCCGACATCTACAATGAAAAAAAAACCTTGCACACCACCGATGACTTCTTCCTCTCCGCCGTGATCAGATCAGATAGGTGCGTGTGATGTCATCACGTTGTGCTGGTGCTGCAGGCATCCTCGTCACTGGGTTTTCATACACCTTTTATATCGTTGAGTTATTTTGATGGAATGGCCGATGTCCAATATCGAACTTTAATGATAATATCGGCCGATACCAATACCATGTCAATAATATCATGCATCCCTAGCTAAAACCTTTGGTGTCAGCCACATCCAAGATGGCCACCACAGTGAAGCAACCTTAGCTAGCACAAAAATGGCTATAACTCAACCACTTTTACTTATTTTAAACTTAAATTTGATATGGGGCGGCTGTGGCTGAGTGGTTAGAGCAGTTGTCCAATGCAACAGTTGGGGGTTTGATTCCACCAGCAGTCACATGCCGAAGTGTCCCTGGGCAAGACACTGAACCCCTCATTTCCTGTGTCGTCTTCTTTCTGCCTTTTCAGCTACTTTTCATCAGGTTTTTTTTTTGTTGTTGTTGCTAATTGAGCTTTTTTCAGCCGATTTCCTAATTGTTGTTCTCATTTCTATTTGTGTCTACTTGAGAACCTAATTCAGCAAATATGTGTTCTGTCTGCTTTCGTCTGCTACTTTAGGCTTGTTCTTCAAGTTCAGCTACAATTAAGCAGGTTTTAGCTAACTTCAGCTGTTTATTTTAGCATGCTCTTCAGCAATAACCATTCACACTGCATTTTCTCTGGACATGCAGTTTCTCTCATTAAAGTTTTACCTTCTTTCTCCAAGTTTTGCTTTTGTTTTAAATCAGATTTATTTTCTTTACGAGCCTAACCTCTGCTGCCTAATTCTAGTTATTACTGAAGCGAGACTTCCCCGAAAAAGAACGAATACTAGACAGCCTTCTTCTCAGCAAGGCTTTTCTGGAAATCGAGCACAAAGAGTAATTTTAATTCCCTTTTATCTCTTCACATTAGGCCTCAGGAACTGTGGAACACACGTCCTACTTTTCGTAGCTGAGCTGGTGTCTAGATCTGAGAGAGCTCCAGGGCCACGTCTTCCTGTTGGAGCAAGTTTATTTCAGGAGTCCAGATAGTTACAGTGTCTGACCCGGACATCAGCTGTCCAGCATTTAGGATGCATCTGTATTCTGTCGGAGTTGTAGAGATGAAATGTGCCAGCAGGCCAAGAGCCTTGATCCATTTTCCATCTTTAACCGAATAAAGAATGTTCTCTTGGAAAATCCTTCATGGAAAACGTGTTAAGCGATAAAAATTTATAAATGCCTGCCCAAAGACAAATTTTGATTTCTGAAGGAGTTAAACAATTTATATTCTCTATAAATTTGTAAGAATATAAACAACCATTGCTTTCTTTTATTTGTCAGTCATGTGTAACTCGTTCTGTTTTTCCAGGCACTCCGGCCACAGCTCTCCCAGAGAAGAGTCATCGTCTTCAGCCACCTCCCCTTCGTCTCAGACCTCAGGACCCAAGAGCTTCTACCCCCGTCAGGGAGCTCAGTCCAAGTATCTGATCGGCTGGAGGAAACCTGGCTCCACTATCAATTCTGTGGATTTTGGAGACACGCGGAAGTAAGAACACGCAGAGAAGGCATGGTTTTTTTAGAGTGAATTTACAGCCTATGCATTTTTTGAAGCATAGTAATGACACAGGGGCTTAATGAATTTTAAATGCCTTGCACAAAAGCACAATAGTTTGATGCTGACTTATAGTGTGAATGTTTATCGTGATCCATTTTTCTTATGTACGTTTTTCGGCATCTTTCTCATTCCACAGTTTTTGTGCTATTTCAACAAATGGTATATCAAAATGTTCAGCTCGCTCATGAGAAGGGTGCTAGGATTTTTGGTATTAGTGCAACTTTGGCTTTTTATGCCACTTTGTTCTCATAGAAAATTAATCTTTAGATCTGTTCACAACCTCTTACTGCTCCTTTCACATTTTGCTCTGGTTCAGCTTCTTTCAGCTTCCTTGTGCAAATATAAACTTTTTTCCAGCCACTTTCAGCTGATTTCAGCTGTTTTCAGCTGTTTTGTGATCCTTTTACATTCTTTTTACTAACTAAAACATTTTTGTGCTTCTAACTTTTTCTGCTAATTTCAGCTTGTTATGTTCCTTTCAGCGTATTTATGCAAGTTTCAGTTTTCTCTGCTATTTCAGCTAATTGTTTTATGCTAATTTTAGCTTTTTCAGCTAATTCCAATTTTTTTGCTCTCATTTCAACATTTTTCAGCCTAATTCAGCAAAAATCTGCTCTCTCCACTTCCTTCTGGTAATTTAAGCTTCTTTCTGCTTTTTAAGCCACTTTTTAGCTGGTTTTTTTTCTTTAGCTAATTTCAACTTTTTTCAGATAATTTCCACTTTTTTGTGCTCATTTTTGCTTCTTTAAGCCTAATTGGGCAAGCATGATCTTTCTGCTTTCTTCTGCTTTTTTAAGCTTGTTCTACCTTTTCAGCTACCTTTTTTATAGCATTTTTAGCTCATTTCAGTTGTTTTCAGGTAAATTCCAGTTTTTGTGCTAATTTCTGATACTTCCAGCCCCATTAATTTATTTCTCTTTATTTCAGCTTGTTACCGGTACGCTCCTTTCAGCTTATTTCTGCTAGTTTCAATTTATTCAGATACTATTTAGCTGTTTTTATGCAAATTTTAGCTTTTTCAGCTAATTCCACTTTTCTTTTTCTTTTTTTAGCTCATTTAGCTTCTTTCACTTCATTCTGGTGTTCAAGCTTCTTTTTGCCATTCAGCTACTTTTCAGCCTTTTTTTCTTGCTAATTTCAGCCCTTTTTTTTAGCCATTTTCCTGCTAATTTCTAATTATTTAAACCTATTTCATCAAATATGTGTTATTTCTGCTTTCTTCTGCTAATTTAAGCTTGTTCTTCCATTTCAACATGTTTAAAAAAAATAATTTTAGCTGTTTTTCAACAAGTTCTCCTACAGTAAGCATTCACAATGCATTTTCGCTGAAAATGCAATTTCTCTAGTTCACATTACATTTAATCATTTAGCCAAATGCTTTTATTCAAAGAGACTTTAAAAATGAGTAACAGCATTTAAGCTTGTGTGTAGTGAGAAAGACAGGAATAAGCATTAAGTGCTGTTTCTGTGAAGAACACGACGTGACGTGTGGGTTAGGGGTGTTAAGAGAGAAGGTGTTTTTGTAACAGATTAATTTTCAGGAGGTTCTCGAGGCTAATGATGGATGTTCCTGCTCTGCTGACATTTTGTAGCTTGTTTCAGCATCATGTAACCATTTAAAAAAAATATGAAAAGAAAGAAGTGTCTTAATTTGTACCACCTCGTGGGTAGAGGTGGCAGAATAGGACATTGTTCCTGAGTGGAGAAACATACTAGGAAGGATGTGGGGAAAGTGAACCCAGCATGTGCACGTACGAGGTTTTCTTTCCCAGCTCCTGTAAAATCAAATAGATTATTTTAAGCATTCTTAGCACCAACACAACTGGTTTGTTCCACTTTGGAGTAAGCTGTTTGAGGGAAGAATCAGCTTTGTGTTGTGTGTTTCCTTGACTGATGAAGCCTTCTGGATAGAAGGTGAAACGTTTCAGCAAAAAAAGAAACTGTCCAGATGACCTAACTGAAAAATGTTGGATTGAATACCTGGATTATTGAGCATGGACTTTTTTGATAAGCGTTCTGTAACTTTTCTGAAACTTGTGTTCACAGTTTAAGAGTCTGTCCTCTGCCTCTGATAAAAGTTAACTATACTTCACTTTGGAATATCCTTCATGCAAGACTGGATTTAATTCTTATTACATTTCTATCACAAATAATCCATCCACTTTTAAATCGTCTTCCCCTACAAATCACATAGATGCTACTTGATTGCCCTCTTGTGGCTGAGAATAATATAGCAGCAGCTACCAATTTAACCTTCACATTTCTCTTTCTTGGTTCATTCTAAGATTGTTTGAACCATATACATTTTTTTATGGGTGCTTATTTTGACTGTTTTTGTTTTAGGAAATCTCCTGGAGAAAGTGGAGGAGATCTGGTTCCAACCCCGGCAGCTAGACCTTCTCTCAGAGACATGCACTCACCACAGCAGCATGCTAAATCTACCATAGAGGAAGACTTAAAGAGGCACAGTGCTCACGACACTCCCCCACCACCAAGAAAACACAAAGAAAAGGTACTTTCTGGAAAAGAAAGCCAAATAACAAAAGTGAGGTTTGTGTTTGAATTATCAGCTTTTCAACGTAGTAAAGTCGTCTCCTATCAAGTAATCCTGTCTGTTATCATTTTACTTGACCGTAATATGTAACTGGATTTTCTTCCCTTATATATAT